GGGGTTGAACGGGGCCTGGCTCCCCCCCCCCCCCCGCTGTTGTTCTGGCATTGGGGGGGGCTGTGGTGGGTGTATGGGGGGGCAGGAAGAGGGTTTTCCTTGAGGCCAGGGCCTAGAGGCCCCCTTCCCTCCCCCCCGTGGGGGGTTCTGGCTGAGGCCATTTCCTTGAGTCTGTCACCTGAAGGCACATCCGTTCCATGGGCCCCTCCAGTGTGTCGCCCTGTGGCTTGGGGGCCCTGCCCTGGCAAGGGCTGGACTGGCTGGCCGTTGCGTCTCCCCTGCCCCTGTGCTCCCCGCCCCCCTTCCCCACCCGCCAGTTCCCCTACAGGGGCTCAGGATTCTGCTGTTTTTGTTTCTGCAGCCGGACTGCCTGTTGGAACCCCTGGAGGGCGTGGGGTGAGCCACCCAGAACCCCCTGGGCACCTCCTGCCAGCCATGAGCCTGGCCTGGCCTGCTACCTCATAGAATCGTAGCGTTGGAAAGGATCTCCAGGGTCATCTAGTCCAACCCCCTGCACAAAGCAGGAAATCCACAAATACCTCCCCCTCCACACCCGCCATGACCCCTGTTCCACGCCCAGAAGATGACAAAAAAACCCTCCAGGATCCCCGGCCAAACTGGCCTGGAGAAAAACTGCTTCCTTACCCCAAAGTGGCGACCGGCTTCTCGCGATCTGCCCCCAAGTCCACAGAATCCGCATGGCTGTCAGATGGGGCCATCTAGCCTCTGCTTGAAAACCTTCAGAGAAGGAGAGCCCACCTCCTCCCGAGGAAGCCTGTCCCACTGAGGAACTGCTCTGTCAGCAAGTTCTTCCTGATGTTTAGCCCAAAACTCTTCCGATTTGATTTCAACCCGTTGGTTCTGGTCCGACCTTCTGGGGCAACAGAAAACAACTCCACCATCCTCTATCATGGCAGCCCTTCAAGGACTTGGAAGATGGTGATCCTGTCCCCTCTCAGTCCTCTCCAGGCGAAAGAGACCCAGCCCCTTCAACCTTTCCTCGTAGGACCGGCATCGGGCCTGCAGCCAGAAATACCATTTGGGTTTGGGCGAAATGGCACCTCTGCGGACTTTGTGGAGCATTTGGCTGACTCTCGGCAACTGGAGATGCCAGTTCACCCGGAACGGCCAGCCTTGGGGGTGGCGACATCCGTCATAGGCTCTTGGCCAGCCTTGGTGTGGGGCTGTTTTGCTCTTTTAATATACTGTAGCGTTTTCTTTTTGGCATGCTGCCTCTGTGGAATTTCGATTGAAGTTCTTACATCTACTGTGATTTGTATAGTTTTGTGGCATGTTACAAGGTGCTTTTTGCTGGGGCTGAAAAGCAGTGATACAAATAAAGTGTTTATTAATTAATTAGAATGTCTATACGCCACCTTTTCTCGTGGTTCAAGGCAGAAAAGTTGCCGGGAGAGCAGCCAGCTGTGGGGCCTGGCTGTCTTCCATTGGCTCCTAAGTGTTCTGCCATTCGGGGAGAGTGAGAACCCAAGGGGGACAAGAGCAGCCCACCAAACGGGGGGAGGGGGCAAACCCACTGAGACACCACCTCCAACGCTGCTGTGGTCTCTGGGCGATTGCCGGCTGAAGACTGGCCATTCGTTTTTGGCATCATGTAAGGCCCAGCAGGGGGTACAGGGGTTTGGAGCAGGGGTTAAGAGCACAGACTCTAATCTGGGAGAACTGGGTTTGAATCCCCACTCCTCCATGTGCAGCTGCTGGTGTGACCTTGGGTCAATCACAAGTTCTCTCAGAGCTGTTCTTTCAAGGGCTGTCCTCGAAACAGCTCTCTCAGCCCCGCCTACTTCACAGGGTGTCTGTTGTGGGGAGGGGAAGGGAAAGGGAGTTGGTAAGCCGCTCTGAGACTCCTTCTGGTAGTGAAGGGCGGGGTATAAACACAATCTCTTTTGTTCTACATAGCAAAGCAATTAACAACTCCCACTGCCATCACCACCACCAGTTTGACCGTCCTTAACCGTCTGTGGCGACCTCCTTCCTATCAGAGGAGGATTTTGGCTACTTTTTCCCTTTCCAACTCTACGATTTTATGAGCCCTTTCGAGTTCGTTCTCCCTGAGATCAGGGGTCAGGGCCCCACTGCTCTCTGGGCAAGGGTCTCCAGCCCTCCCCCCCCCTGCCGTCCTGTTCACTGGGCTATCCTAGCCCTCACCCAGCCGCCGGGCAGCCAGCTTCTACGTTAACAGCCCGTCAGAATCTCTCAGGGGAAAGGGCCAGATAATACCCCTCAGGAGGGCGAATCTCCAGGCCACACTTCATGCGAAGGGGTCAGTTTGCCAGGATTCTGCGAAGGGCAGGACGGTCGGGGTGGCATGTCAAGCAACACACAGAGAAGAACAATCCAGCAGATGGCACTGACCGGAATGTCCAGAACACCTCTGCAGGGGGCCGGGCTCCGAGGCCACAGTTGTTGCCCTGGCTGGAGCTCGGGGTGACCGCTGGGCACCCAACAGGCCTTCAGCCATGGAGGCCTCGCCCCCTCGGAGCATCTCCCGGAGGCCCTGGAGGCAATGCACCATGCAGTTACGGCGTGTGCAATTAAAAATGAATTATATGTTGTCTTTCCTATCCCCTATGAAACATTGTTAGTCCCCTGTCTAAAAGTGTAACTGTAAATCACTTTGAGCCCACTCGTGAGGAAAGCGATTAACAAATCGAAAGCATTATTATTATTATTATCATCATCATCAGGGGTCGTTTCGTAGAAAAAGAGCTAGGGGAACTCATTAGCATAACTCATTAGCATATGCCACACCCCCTGACATCACCAGAAATGTGTCATAAGGCCACACCCCCTGACATCACCGGAAGTGTATCATGAGGCCACATGCCCCGCCCCCAACGGTCCCAGCCGCGGCCGCTGGCCTTGCAGCTACACTGCCGAGCCCCATGAGGGGCTGGCGGGAGTGCAAGGAAGCCCCGCGAAGGCCCTCCCTGGCCCCAGGCAGGCAGGGGGGGGGAGAGGCAGGGAGGAAGCAACTTACCCTCCCCCTTCTCCTGCCTCCTCTTGGCTGAATGAGGGCCAGAAGCGGGGCGGCCAGAAGCAGGGGGCGGGGCTTCATGTGCCCCGCCCCCCATACCTCACCCGGGGGAACTGCGATCCCCCCCCAAATGACCTCTGATTATTATTATTATTCCAGTGGGACTCCCAGCCACACCCCCTCCCCGCTGGCTTGGTTGCCCCACAAACTGGCCAGAGACACAGCTGCTGCCCCCTGCTGGCACGTTCCCCAAGGAGCCACCTGTAATGACTCCATGTTTTGGTCTGTGTGTGTGTGTGTGTCTTTAAATGTTGAGTTTGACTGCAGTAATATGAGAAGAGTGATAGAGGGTGACAAGTGTAATTTGATTGGCTGCTGACTGAGAGTGTGGGAGGAGGGGTGTCTATGAGGAGATTCTGTGTTATGAGACAGACAAGTAATGGAAGAGTTTTGACGAGAGTCTGTGTGACTCAGAGTTATGAGAGATTCTGTGTGTGAAGCTTGAAGAGAGAACATAGTCTGTGTGAATATGGAATTCTGAGTCTAATTCTGTGTGAATAAGACCAACAGTTTAGTCTGTGTGACTAAGAGAGTTGATTTTATTCAGTGTGAATAAAACAAAGAGACTAGCCTGTGTGGCTATATATATATGAGTACAGCGCTGGCTCTTCGGCTTTGAAACGGAGATGAGCACCGCAACCCTAGAGTCGGACTCGACTGGCCTTCGAGCAAGGGAACCTTTACCTTTACTATAAGCCTGTCAGAGTGGAGTTTGGAGAGACTGTGGCACCAAGCTTTGCCAGTTATATTTACAAGTTCCTTTTGTCAGCAACTGTTCAAAATAACCAGAAACCTATTTTGTTCTTTATTAAATCAATTTTTGTTTAAACTTAGTCCAGAAATCAGTACAGTACTTCCTCAGGGCCACATAGTCCTCTGAAGTGCCCAGACCCTAGGGTCATTCTACCAGCAGAGAGAGATTTGGAATTTTAATTCCTGGTGGCAGCAGAAATCTACCAAGTTTAGGTACACAAAGCATGTTTAAAGGTAAAACTGTCTCCCCAATAAGCAAGCACCCCACACCACCTTCTAGGAAACGCAGGCTGGCACCCTCGTTTTTGCTCCACCTAGCGGATGGCTGGGTTGTGTGCAACCCTGCCAGAAGAGACCTGGCAGAGCACTCCCAATGGAGGCCCAACAAGGCCCACAGGCTGGGGACACTGAGGCTGAAACCCTGCTCTGCCTGTAAGCCATCAACTGGCCGGGAGTTCCACTGGTCCTAAACACGGGGGGATCTGAACTGGCCTACCTTACAAGGGTATTGGAAGGGGTGCCTGCAATACTGCTGGTGAAGCAGCACACTCCCCGCAATCTGTGCAAAACATCCCCATGGACTTTGCGGTGGAGGCCTGCGCCCGACCCTGTCTTTTGTGCTGAACCGAACTAGGATGACAGACACACACACACACACACCGCATCCACCTTCTTCTCAGCGTTCTCATGCCTGTAATAAAGCGCTTCTCGGGTCCAGCTAAATATAAAATGATTTATTGTTTCTGAAAACATTAAAAAACAAATTTTGAGCACTTTCAATAAAAAAATCAACTGAAATGCTACTGCAATACCCAACGACTGTCATTTCAGCAGTACAACAGACAACGTAACACTGGGGGCTGGGGGGTGGGTGGGT